TTATTATTAATAAAAAAACATAGTGAGGAGAAAAATATTTGGTTTAATTGACAAAAGATTAAAAGAAGCTTTTTCTGAAAATAATAATAAACTTTTCAGTGGATGGTTTATCATATTATTTGGAGATTTTAAATAGCTTCCACTAGTGATAAACCTTCTTATGTATGTTAAAGACGTTTTGCATGATACAACTTTCAACAATAGTATAGTATTATACAAAAATTTCTGAAAGATATATAAGCTTAATATAATTTAATGTCAATCAGATGATTCAGAAGAATAAAAATCCTTTAGAGAGATTTTTTTAAGGTTATAAGATGGAGATTGCAGCTTAAATGATTGAAAAAAACTCAGTATATACTTTAAAGGAAAATTAAACAAGATAGAATGTAATAGATTTTTGGATGCTATATTCATTCTTACTACTTGAGTTGACGTAAATAGAGTTAATATAGATATATTAAGATCGTTAAACTGTCTAGTAGCCAAAATTCTTGCAGTTTATGATAGAAGTCTTGAGGTTTAAAAAACTGACTCAGATGTCGTAAAAGGACTTAAAGTATAATTATTATTATCAAAGATGCATGTGTCATATTGATAGCTAATATATGGACTAAAGAAAGGTTAGTAAATGAGTCAATAGAAACTATATACAATATTATATTTGTAAAAACTGGACTACTTTACTACTAATAGCAGTTTTCGTAAAATTCAATCTTATGAAAGTCCTAGTATTATAACACCAGAAGGGGACAATGTCATTCCAATTATTCCTTTTAAATGCATTTGAAAAAGTAAATCCAGAAAGTTATGTTCCCAATTTTAGGTTCTATTATGTCTCATGTAGGTAATAATAATGCATAAGAGCCAAAGGCTTACACTATCAAAGGCCAAAATAAATCTTAAAAGTTAAGAGTTTACTGCTAATCTTTCGTTCATTACAGTATTAAGAGTTTGTTTGTTTAATAATATTTATTTTAAGCAATTTACTTATAAAAGACTTCAATGGATTCAAAGTTGCATAATATTACAAGAAAGGAAAGTTAAAGAAAAATGACTAATTTCTATGATATTGAGAGTGAACAACTGAATTTTTTTTTAATTTTTTATTTTTTTTAATGGTTTTACAATTTTATTTTAGTTTAGCAATATAATTTATTTTAAGTTTAGTAGTTTAGTGATATAAAATGTAAATAAATAACATACTATTTTTACTAATTTAGAGTTTGTGCTGATTAACTTAATTATTGAGTAGAAGAATGCGAATATTTGAGTCAAATAGCATATAAAATTATATAGTCCTTTATTATACTCTGAACTAATAATTTATAAAGGTTATATAATGAATAGATAGACTTTAAACTAACTATTACAATAAAATTAATCATTAGATTTTTATTTTAGGCAGTTACTCCATATAAACATCAAAATTGGTATTCTAAATCTATCTTTTTATATTAATTAAAAATGTAAAGTTATTAAAGTTACATATAATATATAATTTTTAAAGATTATATAATAAATAAGTAGATTTTAAACTAATTATTACGCTAAAATTAATTATTAAATTTCTATTTTATGCAGTTATTCTATATAAATGATAAAATCAGTATTTTAAATCTACTTTTTCTTATTAATTAAAGTTATATAACTAAATAATTTATATATAATTCTTAATTATTAAAGTTTTATAATTACGTATTAATAGAAATATTACAAAAAATACTAAAATGTTAAAAAAATTTTTACGTTACATAATTTTATTGCTATTAATTAGAGATCGTTATAATGCATTTTATTAATTTTTATATGAAAATATTATAAATATTACTTTACTTGTATACTAATATTATATTCTCACAATATAACTTCTTATAATTTTAATATATTATATATATCAAGTTCTATTCTATTTAAAATTTTATATATTTTTACAATAATAACAATAGCTTTAAAGAATCTTTAGGTAAAAATGAAAAAGTGAAATAATTTTTTGTGTAATATAATGATAGTAATATTAAATTTGATATCATTATAAGTAAATCCAATAAAGTAATTTTATCATTCTTAATTAAAATGATATTGGTATTAAATAAATTAAAAATTTATCATCTTTATAATTAATTAATATTAATAAATTTATTATTATTTAATTTAAGTAATAATATAGTATTATTTATGATTAGATGTATCATATTAAGAGGATTTTAATAGGTAGTTCATAAAAAATAAATCAATGTTAATTAATATAATTTGTTTCAAAAATTAAAAAATTTTTATTTATTTATAAAAAGAATAAAAAAAGATATAATGATAAAAAAAAATAAAATAAAAAAATATAATAATAATAATAATAAAAATAAAAATAAAAATATAATAATAATAAAAATAAAAAAATTATAATGATAATAATTATTTATTATTAAAGATATTAAAATTTAAGTTATTCTTAAATTTTTTTTCAAATACTACTTTAATTTCTTCTTCTAATTCTGATAATTTTAATATATATTTTATATAAAATTTTTTATTTAAATGTAATCTTCGTTTCTCATAAAATCTAGTATAATATTTTATTTCTTTTTCAAATATTTTAATTTTATTAATATATTTTTTTTTTTAAACTTGAAAGAAGTTCTAACTTCATTGGTTTAATATAATAAAAATTATCAGAATTATTAGTAATTTCTTTTCATGAGAATAATAATTCAGATTTTCATAAAGTAATATTATAATATTTTATATATTTATAATCATGTAATAGTACATGATAAATTTTTTATATTCTTTAAAGAAAATTATATTTATGTTAAAATTTTAAGAAATCTTTTGTTTAGAAATATAAAAAGTAAAGATTTTTTTTATAAAAAAAATATTTCTTTAAGAGTTTTTATAAAAAAAAATATTTTGAATTTTTTATGAAAAAAAGATTTATATTAATTTTTAAATTATAATATTAATTAACATTAAAATAAATTACTTATTTATATTATTTAAAATAGTAATAGTAATAGTAAAACTAATATATTTTTGCTTATAATGATCATTAAATTTTTATTTTAGGCAGTTACTTCATATAAACGTTAAAATCAGTATTTTAAATCTACTTTTTTATACTAATTAAAGTTGTAGAGTTATTAATATTACATATAATATAAAATTTTAAGATCATACAATGAATAGATAGGCTTTAAACTAACTATTACGCTAAAATTAATCATTAAATTTCTGTTTTAGACAGTTATTTTATATATAGTCTCCATTAGTTATAACAAACCCTCTATTCTAGAAGATTCAGTTCAGTATAGAATGAGTTTGGTATATAATATTTATATTATATACTAAACAGTTTAGTATAAAAATTAGTCAATAAAATTACAAGCACATGATTATCAAGTGTTATGATTTGTCTTTATTATTTACATTATTTAATAAATTGCTATTATATTATTATATTAGATATTATCATTAAAATAATCTTGAATATTTGTCTTGCTTAAGATTATTTCTAATTAAAACCTTAATTCATCTATATAACTCTTTTAAATTTTTTAATTCATTGCTTACTTTTTCAAATTCCACCTCTTGCTCATATAAAAATCTTATAATTTTATTTATAGTATTTTCTGCTTCTACTGGACTAACTTTTTCTAATACTAATACAAATTTAATTTCATCTATTATATGTTTCTCTTTCTTATTTATATTTAATATAGCATCAATTATTTCATCATCAGTAAGTTCACCCTCTGCTGCTTTATCTTTAATGTGAATATATTCTCATAAATTAAGATCACCTTTTGGAAGAAGAAAAATTAACCTTTTAAATTCTTTATTATTTTCATTAAAAACTAAAAGAAAACATAATTATTAAAATCATTCACAATGTTAATAGAGTACAAGTTATTAAATTTTAAAGATTTCGGTTATTTTATTAGAATTATTTTAGAAAAATGGCTCGCAAGCCCGAAGCTAAAATGATCGTCAAAAAATCTAATAGTAAGTTTTACTATAGGACTATATATAGTTTTTGTTAAACTATGTTGACAGCGCACCCCGGTGTAACATGTAACAATGTGGGCTATTTGCTATTTATGGGATCATAAAATTTACTTTTTTAAACTACTCCTATTACTAAGCACCGATCATGTGGCCGATAATATCTAATTTGCGAACTTTTCACGTTAGATTAGAGAATAACGATTTCTCTGCAAATTTTAATATCCTTGTCAGAAAAATTCTGTACTAAATTTTAATTATTTTTTATAGTGGTTAAATGTCCAAACAATAAGTTCTTGACTGGCCTGTGACAAATATTTAAGCGATTCTACAATTTTAAAAATGAAAAATAAAATTTTTTTCTATGCAATACGAACAGATTTCAAGGATAATTTGGTAATCTATATTTTCATCTATCGCATGTGTGTTTTAACCAGAAATAAACCATTTTTAAAGATGGAATGGATAAATTTATATTTATACCTGCAAATCACGAATAAAAATATTAATTGTACATTTATACGTAATTAAAGGTTGTGTCCAAATTAAAGTTAAATTCTATTTAGCATGTACACTTGAAATTAAATGATTTTCCAAAATAAATTAAATAAATAACAATTTAAAGTTGTAAATTAAATATTAGTATTTATTTACAGTTCAAAAAATTTATTTTTTTTTTTTAAAAAAAGAAAGACAAATGCAAATTTGTCGATCAATAAGGTGTTGATAATATTTTAATTTAGTAAACGTAAATCCAATTAAAAAAATAATATGCCTTATTTATTAACACTTTAACGAAAATCTTAATTCATCTATTTAAAAATAATACAAATTTCTTAAAAACTAAAAGTAACGAAAATCTTAATTCATCTATTTAAATTTGTTCATGAACTTCTTGTTTAAAATATTACAAAAATTCTTAAATCATATTCTAAATCTTAATTTGATTAATTCATAAAATAACGAGCTTTCATCTATTTAATTGTTTTTCTAATATTTATCTAATAATATAATTTAACGTCACAACCTGAAAATTCGTCGTCACATTCTAATATACTCTCATCACTTTCTTTAGAATTAAAATGACTTTTCGGATTAATAACATTAAGCTCTGAAATTACTTGATCAATATCTGGTCTCTTATCTGGTTCATGTTTCCAACATTCTATTTAAATAAGTAAGTTAAATATTAGATGTAATAAAACAACCATATAATAAAAGTAAAAATTATTCTTACTTTGATAAAGCTTAACAAATACACCATTTGTGGTTGAAATGGGCTTTTCTCTTACACCTTCAAGAATTTCAATCTGAATAGAAGTATTGCCTGTCGTTTCAAAATTGAAAGGAGATGAACAACTTGTCAATTCCCAGAATAATACTCCCACGCTATAAATATCAGATTTTTTGTTTAAGTTGTATTCAGGATCTTCAAAAATTTTCGGATCCATATAAGGTATTACACCACGTGATGCTTTCGTATCGGATCCTTGTAGACACGAACATCCAAAATCCGCTAATTTTATTGTATTTTGATGGACTAAAACGTTATTGGAATGCTAAATATAATAAATAATTTTAATAAAATAATTAATAATACAATAAATCAAATATAAAGTAATAATCAATAACTTACAAGATCACGATGTATAATTTCATTATCATGTAACCATAAAATTGCACTCGCGATTTCGTTGGCAAATTTCAATTGGCTTTCCCAGTTAAAAGTCATGGCGTTATCTCTTAAGTAATTTCCTAAAGTTCCGCCATCAGCATATTCAAGAATAATTTCATAATTTATTTCATCTAAATAATATAAAAAAGGTGAACAAATACTTAAATGAAATTATTAAATAATGATATTTTTTACCTTTTAAATTAGTAATTCCATAAAATTTAATTATATTTGGATGAAAAACAACTTTTTTCCTCATAATTTCCATTAAATGGATCTAGCAAAGAATATATAATTAATCGGAATAATAATATATATATATATTAATAAAACTATACAAGTAATATCAACCTCGTTTAGAATCATATCTTTCGCAGAACCTTCAGCAAATTTTTTAATTGCATATTTTGTTTGTGTACTTTTCCAAAATACAGCATAAACCGAAGCTGAAACTCCAGAACCGATTATATAACTATTTGTAAAATCTTGAGATTTATGATAAGGAATGTCACAACCTTTGTGGCGCAGAGTTACGCCAACAACTTTAAAGTTTGGTGTAACATGGTACTAATATCATGTCAAAAATTAAATCGGCGAAAAAAAAAAACCTTTTTTTGGAAGGATTTTCCTTTTTCGCGCGTACAAAGGCATACGCAGTTTATAAACATAATTTGTAAATGAATACAATAATATTATACTGTGAGTTGTGAATTAGAATCCGGTAATTAAACCAAATTTTCAAAATTTAGTTAATGTTAAAATAATTATTTTCATTGAAAAATAATTATCATGTGTAATAGATTGTGAAGTTAAATTACGACTGCCTTTTTGAAGGAATTCTCTGTGACTTGTATGACTAGTATAAAAATTGTTAAAACCAAAGGCAAAACGGAAGCTATATTATTTTCTGCCGTTTTTATATAATTTGAATGTTACGCAATATGTATAAAAATGCTTGTGTTAATTACGAATTCCCGATTTAGGATATCCGAAATGATTGTTTCGGACATTAACGCAGCGCCAATCACTAATTAAATTTTTTTGTACTACATAAATTGGACCTATCTTCATTAACAAAATACAACTTTTTTTACAATACACTAAAAGTATTACGTATGAACTTTCAAATGGCACTAATTTCGTTATAATATCTCGCTTCTAGGGATGGATCGGTCCTGGTAAGACCGGTCTTAGACCGGTTAATAGGACCGGTCCTTGCGGTCTTCGGTCCATATTTTGAGGACCCGGTCTTTTATTATTTATACATATTATTTTAAATTTTATAAATACTAAATAGATTGTTTTATTTATAAAATATTAC